AATAAGCCCATCAAAGACATTCTTCATTTCTCTTAGTGTTGTTGTTGCTGTTGCTGTTTTTAGAGAGAGAGCATGCATGCACACAAGCAGGGGTTGGGAGGCAGGGAGAGGGAGAGGGAAAGAGAAAGAATTTTGAGCAGACTTTGCACCCAGCGTGGAGTCTGACACAGGGCTTGATCTCACAACCCTGAGATCTTGACCTGAGCTGAAATCAAGAGTTGGATGTTTAACTGACAGAGCCACCCAGGTGCCCCTGTTATAGTGTTTTTGATCTCTAGCAATTTTTTTTTTGTTTTTTCTTAGGATTTCCATCTCTTTATTTATGTTGTCCGTCTGTCCTTGTAGGCTTTCTACGTGCATGCTCTCTAATATACTAAGGGGTCTATACTAAGAGTCTTTAGTATATTAATCATAGTTGTTTGAAATTCCCAGTCTGATAATTCTAGTATGCTGCCATGTCTGGTTCCAATGGTTACCGTATCTCTTCAAATTCTGTTTTTATGCCTTTTATTATGCCTTGTATTTAAACGTTTGTTTTTTTTTTTTAATTTTGGAAAGAGAGCACACATGCAGTTGAGGGGCAAGGGGCAGGGGGAAGAGAGAGAGAGAATCTTAAGCAGGCTCCATGCTCAGTGCAGAGCCTGACATGGGGCTTGATCTCATGACTCTGGGATCATGACCTGAGCCACAGTCAAGAGTTAGATGCTCAACTGACTGAGCTACCCAGGCGCCCCTGTAATTTTTTCTTGATAGCTGGACACGATGTACTGGGTGGAAAGAAACTATTATGAATAGGTCTTTGGTAACATGTAGTTAAGGAATGGAGGTAGGGAAAGTATTCTGTAACATATTTTTTAAAGGTTATTGATTTATTTTGAGAGAGAGAGCAGGGGAAAGTCAGAGAGAGGGAGAGAGCATTCCAGGCTGACTCTGCGCTGTCAGCACACAGCCCCATGTGGGGCTCAGACTCACAAACAGTGAGATCATGACTTGATCCAAAATCAAGAGTCAGATACTTAACTGACTGAGCCACCCAGGTGTACCATGGGAAAGTATTCTGTAGTTCTATGGTTAGGTCTCAGTCTTTCAGTGAGTCAGTGCCTCTGGACTGTGAACTTCATAAGTGTTTCACACAGAGAGTACTCTGGCATATTTCAAATTATTTCCTTTTTCTGTCCCTCTGTAGGATGCTCAGGAGGAAATTTCTGCTCTTTTTATTGTGAGAACCTAGCTGAGCTCTTGGAGGGAAAATTCACAAATTTTGGGGTAGGGTGGTTATGACTGAGTTCCCATGGGGTTTTTAATGCTCAGACTTCTAGGCACTGAGCCTCCAGTAATTTGTCAATTATAGTTTATAGTTTTCTAGCATGGCACTGATTTCTTTGACAGTTTCTCCTATTGAATCTCTGCTCTGATAAACCATGGCTCCCTGTATTCCCCTGTCCATCTCTTCATCTTGGGGGCAGTGGTTTGCCCTGTGTTCTCCCCTTTCATGGATCCAAGAAGAGTTGTTGATTTTTTAGTCTTTTTACTTCTTGTTAGGAGAGAATGGCAACTTTCAAGCTCCTTACATGTGGAACAAGAAATTGGTTGTGTTGTCTACATTATATTTTCACTTGGCTTTTATACAGTTTATCATTTTTATATGTCTTTGTGATTAGCATTTTGATAACAACATCTGAGTTTCTTGAGTTAACATGCCATAGTTTACTTAACCATTGCCTTTTTTTAAGTCAGTGCTCTTATAGATGATAGTGTAGTGGACATCTTTTTGTGCATTCCTCTTCTCTTCAGTGACTACCTAGGGTCAACTCCTAGAAGTTGTATCACTTTGTTTGAGAATGCACATCTAAAGGGGTTACATGCTACCTTTCAGAAGTGTTTTACAGATTTGCACTGTAACTGGCAATATGTAGGTATTTTAGCCTTACCACAGTTGCAGAGCTATATCTTCTTTGGGAAAGAAAGTTCTTAGGAAAAGATTTGGGTGGGAAAACAATTTATTTGTTTGTTTTCTTTTATATGAAATGTTCCCTTTCAGCCATTTCAAATACCTCAGAATTACACAGGTTCTCTTGATATGTACTGTCTAATTTTGTGATCTGGATTGTTAACAACCTGTTTGTACTTCTCAGTGGGAGGCTAACCTGAATGTTGGGAGAAGTTAATCATCATAAATTATGATCAGCATAATCAGCTTTATAAATTGTGCACTACTGTGTGTTTAGCTCAGCAGAATCATTTGATAAGCTGGGCAGGTCCATTCATTTGGAGATTCTAAGATTGACACTTGCTCATATTTTCCTTAAAGGTGTATGCTCCCAGGAAGAAGTTTGTTTTTCCCTTTCTTCTAATGGTTGGGTTCTTATGTAGGCAAGAGGTCAGGTAAAATGAATCCTAGTCAACAGTGATGTTTATTGGATTTTAGTCTCAGATCATGGTTGCTATATGAAAATAAGAGTACTAGTGAATGACAGTAACTAATTTCTGATTGTGGTTAAATTAAATATGTAATGGTGGCTTTGTCAAATTATGTGGTTGTATGCTGCCAGTAAAATATACGTAAAATGACTGATAGATAATCTAAGTTGAAGTTTTGGATTTCTTTGATACATAATGACAATACATAATTTAATTATTAATTAATAATAAACAGTTATTGGATACTTGGTTATGTGCCAAGCACTATTCTAAGCGTTTTACATGTATTAAATTAATTCTCATAACAGCCTTAAATATTATTGCACAAGTTTATGTATGTGTGACCTAAAACAAGTATTGCAGAATCATGGTATTTACATGAGAATCCCTAAAATCAAGAGTGTATTTATTTACCCTACATGCATGTCCCCAGCAGATTAAAAGAAGCAAAGTAAAAGTAGGGAGGGAGATTATCAAAGACCAGCACCAGTGTCCAGATATACAGGATAAATAACCTGCTGAAATCTAGACACTAAAGAAGTAAAATCAAGATTTAAACTCAGGCAATCTGCCTCTGGAGTTCCTGTGTACTAGAAAACAGAATCATACTGTGTTACTACATTAAAGTAATTGTTCTAATGGTGTAGCAGGAAGGCAGAATCTGGAGAATACATCAGTTAATGCAGCAAAGCCTCATCTCTCCAGAACCTTTAGGGAATGGGGTGTTTTGAAAAGCAGAGTATTTCAGAGAACTCAGATTTATCTGTTATGCATTATACGGTTCTAGGTTCCCTTAAATTGAACATAAAAGATGTAATCAAAAATTTTTAAATGATTTAGTGATTTTGATAGGATTGCCAGCCTTTTTCATTTTAGCTATTCTAGTGGCATATAGTACTCTCATTTTAATTTGCATTTTCCTGATGACTAATGATCTTTTCATGTGCTTATTGGTCATTCTTTTTCCTTTGTGAAGTGTTTGTTTAGAATCCTTGCTTATTATTTTAAAACTTGGATTGCTTGTTTTATTAAATTGTAGGAATTTTTGGTATATTTTGGATATAAGTTCTTTATCAGATTTTACTTATTTTATTTTATTTTATTTTATTTTATTTTATTTTATTTTATTTTAGAGAGAGGGAAAGTGCACGAGTAGGGGAGAGGGACAGAGGGGGAGAAAGAGAGAGAGAGAGAGAGAGGGTCGTTAAGTAGGCTCTGTGCTCAGCACAGAGCTCCACGTGGGGCTGGATCTCACAACCGTTAGATGATGACCTGAGTAGAAATCAAGAGTTGGATGCTTGACCAAGTGAGCTACCCAGGCGCCCCTATCAGACTGTGTGTGTGTGTGTGTGTGTGTGTGTGTGGTAAATATGTGCTCCTATTTTGTGGCTTACTGTTTTATTTTCTTAAGATTTAAATTTTTATTTGGTCTTTTTTTTTTTTCCTTTTATGCTTTTTTCTTTGTAGGTCTTGTATAAGCATTCTTTGACTACCCCAAGATTACAAAGATTTTCACTTAGGTTTTCTTCTAGAATTTTTATAGTTTTAGCTTTTATATTTAGTTATGTGATCCATTTTTGAGTTAATTTTTGTATATAGTATGAGTGAAGGTTGAGGATAATTTTTTTATGGATATACAGTTCTAGCATATTTGTTGAAAAACCTGTTCTTGTTGAAAATCAATATATGGGTCTATTTCTGAATTTTCTCTTATGTTGCGTTAAATAATCTTGTTGGGATTTTGAGTGGGACTGTGCTGGTCAAATCTGTAATTTGGTTAGAATTGATACTTTATTTTCTGAGTGTCATTATGAACTCATAGATTTAAACACATTTAATAGCTTAGTTCACTGCATTCATTTTTCTTATTGATATTCCAGTACACTTTTTTGTCCAGTTGTTCAATTTTTGGCCAACTTAAAAGTTGGCTATTAAGTTTTTTTGATATGACCCTAGTAATGTCTGATAGATACCTTGCTCATGACAGATATTCTAGCTCATTTTTTACATTTTATGCTCCAGATGTGGAATTAGCCCTCTACCTTTGGAATTAGCCATGGGACCTTTCTCAGAGATACCCTAGTTGCTTTTATGGGAAATATGTGTTTGGAGATTACATTCTGGTCACTAGGAATGTTCTTTTCTACTGGGTAAATCAGAGGATTTTGAAGACTAAAATTCTTCTGGTTAAGTGTTGAGCACAAAGCAATATGATATGGAGCAAAAAGCCCTGGAATGGGAGCCCATTTTTTAAATTTTTTCATTCATTTGCCAAATATTTGTTGAGTTTCTATCAGGTGCCAGGTACTCTTTTATGCAGCAGTGAACAAAATAAGTAAAAACGCTGCCTTTATGGGAGTTTACAGTCTAGTTAATCCAGGATATTTACTGAAACAATTGCTATTTTTCTTGGCCAGCACTTTACCTTTTAGGTCTTTCCTCATTTATAAGATTATAAAATTGTACTAAGTGGTCTGTAGTGTTTTCACTTGGAAAGTTTAATATTTTCTGTCTCTTGCTTCCATGCTTATTCAGTGTTTGTGCTGTTCCTTTCCTCTTTTTTTCTTACCCTCTTACAGAAATGACAGAAGAAGAACAGTTTGCTCTGGCTCTCAAAATGAGTGAGCAGGAAGCTAGGGAGATGAACAGCCAGGAGGAAGAAGAAGAGGCACTCTTGAGGAAAGCCATTGCAGAAAGCCTGAATGTAAATACACTATGTTTGAAAAGTTTGTTGAGGGGGGTTGATCAGAAGTTTGTTTGTTTGTTTTTACTTCTGCAGTATTACAGTTATATTAGGAACCAGCTGTAGTAGTTCATAGGGTTTTCAACTAACAGATATTTCCCATAATAATTTTACAATGTTTTTTGAATTGTTGGTGAATCCAGTTTGTAGCGTTTTGTTAATTTCATATGAAAGAGTTTCTTACACCCCACAAATTTTCAGTATTTGGTTTAAGAGGACCATAGTAGTTGACAGCTTCTGAAAAGAGTTACCAACTCCCAAGAAACCAAAAGGGAGCAAGATAAGTTGCTTCTCTCCCCTGTTTTGGCAGAAGAGCAAAGGCAGTGAGAAACTAGAGGTGGGTTATGGAAAGAATGAGCAATTAAAATTTTTTTCAAATAATGTTAAATTGGTATCTGAATATGTATAGTCGAAATTATTTTAAATGTGAAGGTTGTTTGCCAGTGGCAGGTCCTGAGCCATCCTTTATGTCATTCATGTCTCTATATTAGAAAAGGGTTTATATAGTGATCTCGTATAGCATTTTGCACATAGTAGGCACTCAGTACATTTTGTGGAAGTCATTTGAAGTGAGCATCTGTGTTTTGGAAAGGAGAATCTCTTAGGGACAGTGGCCTCCCTATTTTGTCCTTCCTGTGACCCTTCATGTATAGCTATTTTAATGACAAACCTGGTCTGGTGTGGGATCACTTGTTTCAGAGTTGCCGGCCTTCTGATGCTTCTGCTACCAGATCTCGACCTCTGGCAACTGGACCATCTTCACAGTCCCACCAAGAGAAAACCACAGACTCTGGGACCACTGAAGGCATGTCTCCCTGTTCTGACTCCTTCCACTCATCAAGTATAACTATATCTCAGGGATTTCATGCTGAGAGTAGATATACAGAAATGCCCCAAGTCCCTTTGGTGGTATTAAAGAGGTTAAATCTGAAAGTAGTTGAGATTTCACTAATATCCAGCATACTTTTTATGACCAAGGAAGTCAACATTTGGTTAAACACAAAGAAGAGCCTTTTACCCACAGTATGTAATTCTTGATAAGTGATAACTTACCAAGCCCTCTTAATAAAGAACAGTTTGTCCTTAGCCCTACTTTTTCTCAAATACCTACAGGCATATGGCAGCTGGTACCTCCATCACTGTTTAAAGGCTCACATATCAGTCAGGGAAACGAGGCTGAGGAAAGAGAGGAGCCTTGGGACCACACTGAAAACACTGAAGAGGAGCCGGTCTTTGGCAGCTCAGGAAGCTGGGATCAGTCAAGCCAGCCAGTGTTTGAGAATGAGAACGTTAAATGTTTTGACAGATGTATTGGCCACTTGGCTGAGCACACACAGTGTGGGAAGCCACAGGGAAGTACTGGGAGGGGTTGTGCTTTTCACAAAGCTGCCCAGGGTAGGGGGGACACATCTAGGCACTGTCTGCCTACCTCAGCAGATACCAAAGGTCTCCAGGATGTTGGGGGCACTGTACACTACTTCTGGGGTATTCCATTCTGCCCTGCTGGAGTAGACCCTAACCAGTACACCCAGGTCATTCTCTGCCAGTTGGAGGTTTATCAAAAGAGCCTAAAAATGGCTCAGAGGCAGCTCTTAAAAAAAAAAGGGTTTGGGGAACCAGTGTTACCTAGACCTCCTTCTCTGATCCAGAATGAATGTGGCCAAGGAGATCAGGCTAGTGAAAAAAATGAAGGCATCTCAGAAGATATGGGAGATGAAGACAAAGAGGAGAGGCAGGAGTCTAGGGCATCTGTCTGGCACTCAAAAACCAAGGATTTCCAAGGAAACCCAGTTAAAAGCTTGAAAGACAAACTTTTGTTGGAGGAAGAACCATCAGCCAGTCATGGTCAGGTAAGGGTCAGTGATGCTGTAATTAAGGATGATTTACTCACAGATTAAACAAGAATTATAGCTATTTGTTCTTTTTGTGGTCTATTTTCCTGATTTTTAAAGTAACACATGCTCACTATGAAAAATTAGGAAAGTACAGGAGAATGTAAAGAAGAAAAAAAAATTATCCATAATCTTAGCACCAAGAGGCAATCATTATTTCTGTGCATTTTAACATCTTAATTTTTCTACAAAATGAAGACTTTCCTGTATAAGGTTTATTTCTTTTCTGCACTTAATAATGAATCTTAAATCTTTTCTGATTTATTAAGTATAATTGAAAACATTATTATATGGATGTACCATAATTTATACTTTGTGTTTTAAAATTTTATTATTTCTAAATAGTTAAATTTTTGAATAGGTAATAATATTCACATGGCCCAGAATTCAAAAAGCTGTCAATGAAAAGTCTGTCACCTATCCCCTTCCCCAGCCAACCAGGTCCCTTCCCTCAAGTCAACCTATATTACTAGCTTCCAGGGTATCCTTCTAAGATAATTTATGGAGTGCCAGCAAATGAGTATACATACTCTTTTCCGTACTCTACACATTATTTTCCACCTTGCTTTTTTCTTTGAGATATTTCTGAGATTGTTCCATAACTGTACATAAGGAATTTCTTCCTTATTTTGGATGTGTAATACACTATGTATGGATGAATTTATTTTATCCAATGTCCCTATTGGTGGACTTTTAGGTTTCTGATATTTTACAAACACTACTGCACTAATTATGCTTGTATGAAGATGTTTCATATACATGGGAGATACTTGCATAATTTCTTGTAAATGTAATTTGATGGATCAAAGGATATATTACAGTTTTGTTAGCTGTTGCCAAATTGCCTTTCATAGAGGCTGTATAAATTTACGCTCACAGAAGTGTATGAGTACCAGCTTCCCTATAACCATACCCAATCAGTACTGTTAGGGCTTTTTGATCTTTGCCAATCTGGAATGAAAAATGCTGTCTCAATACAGTTTTAATTGCATTTCTTTTATTGCGTGTGCTGTTGAAACCCATTTATATTTCCTTTTCTGGCTGTTTAGATCTTACGGGCATTTTTCTTTTTCAACAATCCTTTTCTTAGTGGTTTGTAGGTACCCTTTACATATTAGAGGAAGTGGTCCTTTTTAATAAGATGGGTAGTTTTCCAGTTTATTTTCCCCCCATGTGATGGTATTTTTTTGATTTTGCTTGTGATGATTTTCTATAATTTATCAAACACAATCCCCTATTTGGGAACATTTAGATTGCCCTTTCCGTTTTTTTCTGATATATCTAGATTGTATTATATATCAAAACTTATATTCTGTTTTTTCTCTAGATATTATAAAAGAAATCATATAATTATACATAATTATATATATTATATACTATATAATTACAATAATGTAAAAACCGAAAGTTTAAATTTAGAGTATTTTTGATGAGTATGTTGTTTGTCGCTATTTTTATTTTTGGGCTCCCTCAGTTTTTGGTTTTGTTTTACTGTTATCCTATTCTGTCTCTTATGATAAGGATTCAAGAAATGTTTTTTTAACTGTGAGAAATTTCATAGCATAGTTTAGAGAACATGAATTTGGAGTTTGAATTTTTCCCTCTGTTTTAGTAACTGTGTATCTTTGAGCAAGCTGTTTAACCTCTCTGAATCTCAGTTTTATATCTGTAAAATGAGAATAGTAATTCATGTCTTACAGTAGTTTTAATGGTTAAAGTGAATTATGTAATTTGTTTAGTATGATGCTTAGGAGATTATAGGCACTCAGTAAATGTTAGTTCTCTCTAAGGGACCAGAACACATTTGTTGAGGGTATCTGTGGGAATCATTCTTCACCAGCCTTCTTCATCCACATTCTGGCAAGATTGCTGTATGGGAAGAAAATGTTTTTCTTAACAATTCTAGTGACTTACCTCTTTTCCTAAGGAAAATTAGGTTGACTTATGATGACATATTTTGTTTGTTTGTTCTTTGCAATTCAGAGATACTTCCCTTTAAGAGAATAAATTAACTCTACAGAATGAACATTTATTTATCATATTTGTTGACTGATTCATTGTAATTCAAGTTGTTAGCTTGAAAATCCCAGGGACTAGAGTGGTAGAGGATAGCCTTGTGTCAGGTCTAAGGTTTGAAAGCAGCGACTTTGGAATAGCCTGGAATTGTTCAGAACCTGATTGGCCCTCTAACTTCCCTGAACTGGCCACCAAATACTATAGATAGTAAGTGTTATTTGGCCACAAGCAATCAAAATCAAGCTAGTTTAATTTAAAAAGAAGACTATTGGGCCGCCTGGGTGGCTCAGTTGGCTAACCTTTGGCTCAGGTCATGATCTTGCAGTTTGTGGATTTGGCCCCATGTCAGGCACTGTGCTGACAGCTCTGGGCCTGGAGCCTGCTTAGGATTCTGTGTCTAACTCTCTCTCTGCCCCTGCCCCACTCTCACTCTGTCTGCCTCTCTCAAAAATAAATGGGAAACATTAAAAAAAAAAAAAACTTTATCATGAGGAAACAGGATGCCTTATAAATTCTAAAATAGGTTGGAAGCCAAGCCTGGACAAGGTCTGGAATAGTATCTGTAATTTTTCAATATCTAATTGCTATATTGTGGTATCAACTTCGTTTTTCTCCCTGAACGATTCACTTTCTTTGCTTCTCTTTCATAATGGTAGGTGGAAGACACTGATCCTATAGATCCCAAACTTAAATACAGGTTATAGGAGATTTATTCTCTTTCACTTCCAATTCCAAATTTCTAGGAAAGGACTTATGGACCATTTGGGGTTAGTAGCTTTCACCAGCCCAACTTACAGTTGGCCACCTGAAGTATGGTCTGTGTCAGATTATATAAATGGCTAAGAGTGGGCAGGGTGATGGACTGTCCTCAGTGAAAAAGGTGACCAGGCAGACAAACTAGTAAGTATCCATATAGTCATTGTCATTAACATTAATTTTAGAAATCACTTAGAACTGTTGAAAAATGCTGAAAAGTTTAAAGAATAAAGTTGAAAGCATTCACAGCCCTATCATCCAGTGATATATTCCTTCATCTTCTACACCTGTTTTTATACAGTTTCTATCATATTATATTTTGTATTATTAAAAATTTTATTAATGTTTATTTAATTTAGAGGGAGAGGGGGAGAGAGCTTGAGCAGGGGAGAGGCAGAGAGGGAGGGAGACACAGAATCCAGAGCGGGTTCTAGGCTCTGAGCTGTCAGCACAGAGACCGATGTGATCTCACAAACTGTGAGATCATGACCTGAGCCGAAGTCAGATGTTTAACCAACTGAACCACCCAGGCACCTCAATATGTTTTTGTATTTTTAAGTTTACATTATGTACATATTTTCTTATGATATTAAAATTATTTGTAGGTTTCACTTTTTTATGACTGCATAATATTCTGGCTTATGAATTTATCATAATATTTTAATCCTTTTCCTGTTGCTAGATACTTTGCTTGTGATAAACATCTTTCTTAAGTAAAACTTTGTTCTATTTAAAATTAGTACTGTTAGGGAGCAAGAAAAATTCTGGGTTAAAGAGCTGCAAACATAAAAAAGGACTTGCTATTTATTACCAGATTGCATTTCAGGAAGATTGCTCAAATGTGTACTCCTTCCTTCCAGTAATATATGAGAATGCCTAGGTCAGTCTTGCCAATACAGAATAGGATCTTTAAAAAAAATGAAACAAACTTAACAAATTTTATAGGCAAATAATGAAAATCTTACAGTTGTAATATTACCACTTTTCTTGTTTTTTTTTGCTTTTAGGAACTGTGGGTAGAAAGAATTTATATAGAAAGAATGTTATTAAACATTTTCTATTGATTATGACTTTGTTGGAGCTGCCTGTTTGTACGACTTTGGTTGATTGAGATGACAAAAGATTCCCAGAAATAGGGACTTAGAAAAACATTCACTTCGAGGCAAATTGCTTTAGTATATATGAAGGTTATAAAAGCTTTAGAATCAGATAGCTAGTTTCTGGCATCACAGCAACAATAGAGAGGTTGTTAATGAAGATGGAAAGGTCATCTTGATAGCCATACAGTTGGGAGATGGAGGAGTAGTATATTGATGTGGTCACTACTTCTCAGGGTCTGATCCTTAATTTTTCAGTCCAGGTACTGGAATTTGTTTTTCAGAAATGGCCAGATTATGTGGGGGGTGTGAGAACTGATGTTGACAAGTCAAACTTCAAGGTGATATGTACACCAGATGACAGTTTGCTAATTTATTATGAAAGATAGACATTTTTGGTGACCAGAATATTCAGGTCCACCATCCATTGTACCTTCTTCTAGGGTGAAGGTATTTGTAAGGCTGAAAATAGTAGTCAGAAAATAGTAATTTTAATGCACGATTCAACTAGTCTATGGAAAGACCTGATAAGCTACTAGTACCTGATAACAGAGGACATTTCTGTAGTGACCAGATGATGTGTCTGTTAATTTTTACTTCCCAGGCCATGGTAATGATGACACTGCTTGATTCTGAATCTTTGGATTTTTCTTCTTTAGATTCATATCATCCCTTTTTCATTAACATGTTACTTCTTCAGGCATAATGCAGTATCTTGATTAGGCCACAGCTTCTTTAAAGTTATATTCATATTATGCGTCCCTGTTCACCTTGATTAGATTTGGGTATTCTAATCAAGTTTTATTTGCTTATTTTGCTTATTATTTTCATATTCCGTTTATAACTCACTTTACCCCTATGTTCAGATTGCCATCTCAGAGGTGTAAGTTTAGAAATTAAAAATGACTTATTGATGGGTACCTGGGTGGCTCAGTCAGTTTAGCATCTGACTTTGGCTTAGGCCATGATCTCACAGTGTATGAGTTTGAGCCCATCGGGCTCTCTGCTGTCAGCGTGGAGCCTGCTTCAGATCTTCTGTCCCCCTCTCTCTCTGCCCCTCCCCTGCTGGTTCTCTCTCTCTCTCTCTCTCTCTCTCTCCCTTCCCTCCTCTCAAAATAAATAAACTTTAAAAAAATGATTTATTGAAATGAAGACATTCTTGGGATTCTGTGTTGAAATGATTGTAGGAATATTATTTGAGTAAACACTATAACAATAGTGGTTAGAACATGGATTTTGGAAACAAATCCCAGTTCCGCTTTTGACCCACTCCATAACTTTGGGCAAATTATTTAACCTGTCAAAGTTTCACTTTCCTCATTCCTAAAATAGTAATTTCTGCCTCACAAGGTTCTTATGAGGATTAAAGGAGATAATGCATTTTAAAGTGTTTTGCATAGGCTTGGCACATAATAGGTATATAATAATTAAAAAAAAAAATAACACTGAGAAAGGTAAAGATATGCTAGCCTAAGGTAGAGGTACAGGTATCTTTTAACTGATTGCCTTGATTGCTTATGAAGCTCAAGTTTAGTTAACTACAATCATTCTAAGACAGTAAAATCTATTAAATGGACACTAGGTGTCAGTATTTACTTAAAAAAAAATTTTTTTTTAAATAATCAGTGTTTCATCATTACTGAGTTCAAACACCCAAGTGACTATCGCTGTTGTATTTTAGTCCTTTTGACAGTTTTGTTTAACCCTCATTTTTCATGATGAGTGCATTACTGATCATTGTACAGCTTTATCTTTCCTTTGAATGAAATTTCATCTCAGCTATTTGTTTTTGAGTATATTTTGTCATTTTTCTGAGTGGTACAGAGATGCCTAACTTGTTTAGGTTATTTATATCCTGTTAGGAGCCCCTGAAAATTACAGCCAGTAGCTTTGTATCTATTGGAAGAAGTCTTAAAGCTCAGGTACTTCTTCAAAAGTTTCCCTAAGGCAGCTCTGCTCTTAGGGAAGTTTCTGTGCTCTTCTGTGCACCTACATTTAATGAGTTGACATTTGTATCAACTTTACTATTAATCATAGAAAATAATTTTTTTTATCTAGTCCCTATTTGTTACATTTCTTTCTTTTCTTTTTTTTGGGGGGGGGTTAAAATTTTCTTTATTGTTTATTCATTTTTAAGAGAGAAAGAGTGTGAACAGGGCAGAGGCAGAGAAAGAGGGAGACACAGAATCCGAAGCAGGCTCCAGGCTGTGAGCTGTCAGCACAGAGCCCATTGTGGGGCTTGAACCCACAAATTGTTAGATTATGACCTGACCCAAAGTCCAAAGCTTAATCGACTGAGCCACCCAGGTGCCCCATATTTGCTACATTTCTTAAAAGATATCCCTGTTGCCAGATACTAAAACTATTGTGGCAGATTTGTAGCAAAAGGAATCTATAACCTTCCCTTTGGGATGTTCTGTTTTATGACTTGGTTGTGCTCAGAAAGACTTCTTTTACAGATTTCAGTGTTTTATGCAACTGAATATGTCCATTGAAAACTGAGCTTCTCTCTATATTTTCTCTATCCACAAGAGCTCTATAATTGCTTTTTTGATGTTATGTTGTTTTTTTTTTTTAAGTTTACTTATCTATTTTGAGAGAGCCAGTGCAAGCCGGGGAGGGGCAGACAGAGAGGGAGACAAGACAGAGGATTCGAAGCGGGCTCTGCGCGCTAACAGCAGAGAGACCCATGCAGGCCTCAACCTTATGAGCTGTGAGATTATGACCTGTGCCAAAGTCAGATGCTTAACTGACTGAGCCACTCAGATGCTCCTATAATTGCTTTTTTGAAATCATAATTCATTTGACTCACCAATTAATATTTATATGTCTTTCATTTTACAAAGTACATCACATGTATTTTTAAATTCTTACAATAATGTTCTTTGAGGCAGTGATTAATACCCATTTTAAGATGAGAAAACGGATTGAGATGTGATTTACCCTAGATTACAAAGTTGATGGCCGATCCAGTTGTGATTTAAATTCGTCTTCTCACTTCACAGGTCATGCTCTTTTTACTGAAACTTATGTAAAATGTTTTATTCTTACTGCTAATTGCTGATTAATAGTGTTGAGCAATTAATTTTTTTTAATAGAAGACAAACCAGTTCATCTGTGACTGTATATTTAGGATGTTATATATTTCTTTGCAGTCTTCCCAAGGGCTGTTTGTTGAAGAAACTTCTGAAGAAGGAAACTCTGTACCTGCCTCACAAAGGTAAGTTTATATGTTGTTACAGGTCTGAATTCTCTGATGGTGCCAGAATAAGAGAGATGAACCACATTAGTGAGACTGTATAGGGAAGAGCTTGCCAGTGATCTTTTAGCTCCTTTAAAAACACAAGCTAAGAGAGATCATTATCTTCCAGTTCTCAAATATGTAGCTCATAGAAGTCTAGAATATTAGAGTAGAAGAGATCTTAAGATTTTTTTTTTTTTGTTCTAGTCCAGCCATCTTGGCTCATATCCCATTTACCGCATTCCTGAATAGTGTTTACATCCTGCTACTCTTTTAACTATTCTAGCTTCCTATGCCAAATTTGAAGGCTCTAGATTTTTTAAGTCCTTCTAGACCTCCTGTCCTCTTTCTTTATTCTCTTTCCTTATGCTTATTTTATCTGCATATTCAAATTGTATACATCTTTTAAGGCTATTCTTAAGACATATTTTTTATTAATATTATTCAGCTAACAGAGAACATGTATCACCCTCACCTCCTGTCCTTTGCCACTTTTAATCTGATTGTATCTCATTTTTTCCCCTTAAATTGCTGTATTTGCATTACTTCCTCAGTTATTCTTGCTGATTGATTGATGAAGTTACCTTCTTAAGTCTTCTCACTTTAATAATATATATAGTGGTTGGTTGGTTACAGACTGCATTATTAACTGGATCAGGTTTTCAGTTACTTTTCCCTTTTATCTGGTAGTTGACCTTTGGGGATTACTCAGGAGTAAGTGTGTTGAGTGACCTTCATCTCTCATGTGGAAGTTGAGACACCATTACCATTTGTCCTAATTTGGTGGTGGTTCTTAGGCTTTTGGTTAAGTTGATAGTACTAGTTATTTCTTCCTGAGTTGAAGAGTAATGATTTTGGTTTGATTCTTCTGCTTTTAAGACAATTTTGGAAGTGGCCTGCTCCAGTTAAAACCTGTGCTTCCTGCAGGTCCCTGTGCTTTGTTGTCGTGAGCCTTGTGCAGAGCAGATGTAAGTTTTAATAAATGATTATACGCTTTGTCACCAGGAGAGAGTTGGAATTGCAGTCAATGTGGTTTGACTTCAAATTGATTAGCCCGTTTTATAAATGTCAGCAAATTGTTTTGTGATGGACCCTTTGAATAGAGCCCTAATGTTACATGCAGAGTAAACTGTGTCTGGCTTGAGTTTATAACAAATGTTACGAGATGTTTTATTTAGAGAGAGAAATCACTTGTGGTTTCCTATTAGAATTTAGTTATTTATCATGAATCAGCGATGGTTAGTCTCTCTTCTCTGTGGTTCTTGGTTGATGTGAGGTTGTATGTTTTTAAGCGTCCTCTTGCATACTTGATCAAAGGATTATAAAGCTCTGTGAAGCATGAGGGGGATAGCTCAGACGCTCAGATCTCTCAGCCATGTGTTCCTTTGTCAGGAGGAGATTACACTCTGAACAAGCAGGGTAAACTAGAAGTTTGATGTGAGTGATTCATCATTATGTTACTTTCAGAAGATACATTCAGCTTGTATGAGCAGGTTTTTACTATAGGGCAGTTTTGTTTGTTTTTTTTTGTTTTTTTTTGCTTAGAAAAAGCCACATCTTGAAATAAAGAGGAAATTTAACTACAAGGTGAAGGAAAAGCTAGTGTGTTGTTCGGAGAATCTCCATATCTTCTCTTATGAGTTTAGAGGTCTCTAACCTTCACAAGGCTGAGATGGAGGCTATAAATAACCATTGACATTCTTATATTGGAGGGGACTTTTTGTCTTTTATGGTGTTCACAATTAGTCCTTACCCTTCAACTTTCCTTTGTACAGATTCCAAAAGGGTGTTCTTTTGATTCAGTGATTTCACTGAAACCAGAGTTGAAAGCATGTTTCTTTTCCTCATTTCTGACCTTGAGTTTTCACTACGAATTCCTTGCTCCCCTGTTGTGCTTTTGTGGTATTGGATGGCAGGTATGGATTTACCTGTGGCTTTGTAAATGACTCACCATTGCTTTTGGCCCTGTGTTCTAATTTATTTTACTGGGATTCACTTGGGGTTTGGTTCTTTTTCAGCATTGCTGCTTTGACTAGTAAGAGAAGCTCAGTCCTAATGCCACAGAGTTCTGCAGAGGAAATTACTGTGTGTCCTGGTAAGCACTTCACAGATTTTACTGAATTTCTGATCTTTAGCTCTCTACCTTTTTGTGCCAATTAACTTTTCTGACTTTTCAACCCACTCTCAGGAGGTTTATGTGTGATTGATGTATGCTTGTCTATCTCCTCCGCATACATATACATGCACACATATGCATACATATACATACACACCCACTTTTTAAATGGACATTAGCTCTGATTCTTAATCTTCACTTAGAGCTATTTTAGTTTTGAAATTAATATGGCTCTTTTGTCCACTTGTTTGCTTACCAGCCTCATCAGAGATGGCAGCAAAGCATCAGGAATAGCATTTAATTGTACATTGAGAGGCAAGAAGACTTTATATTTTGGTTTATGGGTTCTCCAAATTGAGCTGTCCTCAAATCTGCCTGTCATTAAACAGATTTTCTCAGAGCCTTTTGCTAGTTTTATATTGCCATTCACTCCTTATTGCAGGGAGTCTAGAAATTGAATTTTGTGAACAGTTCTGTCATTGACTTATTTTTTATCTCAGATAAGACATTTAACCTATTAAGCACTGTACTTTGCTTTTTGTTATTGTAGAGATGAAAAGACATGGATACCTTACTTTAGGGACAAGAAATATTCATTCAAGGTTGTGCGTGAATAGATTTTGATGTATAAAGTCATTTTTTTGCTTTAATTATAACAAACTTTTAAAAGAATTCTTTTTTGCTAATGGGATTTTATTTATTTTAATTGAAACATAGCTGACACAATGTTACACTGGTTTCAGGTGTACAACTTGTGATTTGACAAATTTGTACATTATGCTATGGTCACCACAAGCATAGTTACCATCTGTCACCCTGGAACACTTTCCCTGGAACACAGGGTATAGTGCCGTACCGGTTATTCATTCCATAACTGGAAACCTGTATCTCCTACTCCCTTTCATCCATTTTGCTCATCACCTACCTTGATCTATGAAATAATTTTAAATGAACTAAGATTCCCATTATCTTAGGGAAGTCTTGAATCATTGTATAAAATGAAGAGTTACTTTGTGATAATGAGCTACTACTTTTTAAGGAATTTGTTTTAGCTTATATTTCTTTTTTTGCTTTTCTTAAAACTGGGGTCCATTACATTTATCAGTAACCTCATTCATGTGAGATTGAGGGACTTCCTATCAATGTTTAAACTCTTTGGGCAGTAAATGTTGCACACATGTTACCATAGGTCATACCTAGTTTTCCCTTAGGTCTCATATAACCTTTAAACTCTTTGGGCAGTAAATGTTGCACACATGTTACCATAGGTCATACCTAGTTTTCCCTTAGGTCTCACATAGCCTCTCAGGATCAGAGAGACACATAGTTTCTAATTTTGGTTTCTTTCAACTTTTTTTTCTTTAGAGACTTAAACTTAGTTTACACATTATTCTGGGAAATACCTATAAACATTTGGCAGCATAGTGTAAAGGCCTTTCTTATTTTTAAAGCTTTTAATTATCTTGTTTTTTATTGAAATTGTTTTTTTTTCATTCATATAAAATGTATTTGGATTGCTGCCTAGTGATACCCACTAAGAGACCCCACTATCAAGTGCTCTGATTTTGGCAGGACTACTCAGGGATGCTCTGCTCTCTGTGAAAAGAAAACTTTACCCCTTCTCTGTCTTGGATTGCTGATTTATGCCATCCCGTTGGATGTATGTGTGTGTATCTCCTCCACATATGTATGTGTACATATACATACACACCCACTCAGTATATTTAGGATGATGGCATGTGATGTCACTCTGGGATCTTGCAGTAAGAACCTTGTAAATACAGTAATTTTGAAAGCCCTAGTTAATGAGAGGGAAAAGCACGCCCTTTAGTACTGAGCTTAGATAACTTTTATGATCATGACTTGCTGTCATTAGCTCGCTAATTAAGTCCAACTGTTTGCTGACATAAACCACTTCTAAATGAGATTGCAAAAGGTTTCCATAATATTACTGTTCCTTTTGCTAAGAAAGTATAACTACTTCTCCATGGAGCCAGACTCCTGAATCTCTTTGTAAATATATAGCTTAGAAGCTGTGCAACTAAATTTTCTGGAAATTTTGAGTTTTGGATGTTTTCTAAAGGATGAAATACAGATTGAGTGTAGTAGTCCATCTTACGTATTTTGTGTTGTCCTGTATTTCTGAAAATTCCAGGGACCTGATATTCGAAATTATCACATCTTTTTAGAGTTACTCACTTTGTTGAAGAAGCCTATGCCTTATGCCTATATTATGTATGCTCCTGGTATTGTTTATTTCTAAGGAGCTAATGCGGTCTTGTCTTTAGAGTTGAATATTTCAACGATCCACACAAAGCTTAATTAAAGACTTTTTATTATTATAGTAGTGCAAACAATGAGTAGCTTTGATTTTTTTTTTTTAATATTTTTATTTATTTCTAGGAGAGAGAGAGAGAGACGGCGTGAGCAGGGGAGGGTCAGAGAGAGAGGGAGATACAGACTCTGAAATAGGCTCCAGGCTCTGAGCTGACAGTCAGCTCAGAGCCCGACGTGGGGCTCGAACCCATGAACCGCGAGATCATGACCTAAGCGAAAGTCGGATGCTTAACCGACTAAGCCACCCAGGCGCCCCGAGTAGCTCTGATTTTTTAACAGACTATCTTTTTTGGTACGATATCTCAGGGAAACTTGGCAAAAGAGTTTCTCTTTTTTTTTTTGTTTTGTTTTTATTAAACAATTTATGAACTGGGCAGCATCTCATCTGGCAAGTAGAGGGAGGTTCCAACAAAGAAGACTTTGAAGTTTATGCACTGTAAGCCTTTTTCCACCAAGGTGGTAAAATCTGTGTGTGCGCATGTGTATTCATTTTTCAAAAAAATTTTAAGGTATAGAAATACAGTTAACAGTAGAAAAATATTTAGTCCCTCTTTGATCATTGAAAAGAAAACCTCAGTATCTTATAGGTACTTTATTTGCCCAATATTGGCCATTCATTGTACTTATGAAGAACAGAAGTATCAGTTAGTTAGATGATACTAACTATATACAGATGATACTGTATGTATGGTACAGATACCGTACATACAGTATAGATAAGAGAGAACTTACTGGATTTGTATTTGTATTCTGGGACAAGTTTCTTTTCCAGATTTGTTGTCCTTTTTTGACATAGAGTTACTGTTCTTTTGTTATATTAAGTGATAAGTGTTCCAACCAGAGGTCGGCAGACTTTTCTGTAAAAGACTAGACAGATATTTTAAGCTTTGTGGGATAAACTACTCATCTCTGCCACTGAAACTACTCAGCGCTACCATTTTAGCACAAAAGCAACCATAAAATAAAAAGAAGAATGTATGTGACTGTGTTCCAATAAAACTTTATTTACAAAAACAGGAAACTGGCTGGTTTTGGCCCATAGCTATATATTGCTGACTCCTGAACTAATCTGGGAGGTATCCCATCTTATATTTATATCTCCATATTGCTTATAGTCTATATGGTACCTGGAACTTGTTATTCATAAATATTTGCTGAGTTAATGTTGAACAAATAGATGCTCCCTAAAGAATATATTAAAGAAAGGCATATTTTTGTCTGGAATGTCTTTTCTGTTTTTGCTCCCAGTTTTTGTCTTCTCTAGTCATCCTTTTAACCTTAGAACTAACTTCGGCAGTTTTTTGTTTTCAATCAAAATAAATATATTTTAATAACAGAACTATGCTGAAAAGAAGCCAGATGGATTAACTGATGAATGGATAAAGAAATTGTGATACATCTGCATAGTAGAATACCACTACTCAGCAGTAAGAAGGAATGAACTACTGATATGTAACAATATGAGTGCTTTTGAAACACATTATACTAAATGAAAGAAATCAGACACAAAAGATGGCACACTGTAGGATTTCATTTATGTGACATGCTAGAAAAGGGAAAACTATAGGATTGTAAATTAGATTGGTCATTGAGGGAGCCACACAGTGGGGAATTCACTGCACATGGGTACAGGAGAACTTTTTGGATGCTTACAAATGTTTTATATCTTGATTTTGGTGGTTACATGGTATAAATAATACCATGTGTAAATTGTATACATTCGTCAAAACTCATTAAACTCTATACGGATAATTGGTGAATTCTGATGTATGTAATTTGTACCTCGCTAAAGCTTTAAGAAGAAACAAACTAGATCTATATTACCACTACAGTATTATACCCTAAGCTTAAGGGGAAATAGGTGTGTTTTTTTTTTTTTTAACTATGGAAATTAATGACTTTTTAACTTTTTAAATTACAGAGACACCACTAAGTTCTTCTGAAACTTTTGACCTTGAAAAAGAAGTCTCTCTAGGCAGCAGAGAGATCCTGGATGAAGTAAGAATAATAATGGCAGATAAGGAGGTGAATATTCTGTATAATTTTTCTTAGTGTTTTCTTTCTCCTGGTAGTCCTCTCTCTGATGTAACATTGACTTGGCTGGGAAGATTAGGTGCCAGAAGATTGTAGTTATGGGGATACTTATGTCAGAGTAAGATTCTTACACTTCAGTTCACTATTTTAAAATAGGAGTAGTTACCATTTCTTGATTTCTTAATATGCTTTATTATTTTCTATTATAGATGGGGAAACAGAGGCTTAGAATGTTTAAGTCATTTGCTCATATTCAAAATGCTAATAATGGTAAAACTAGAATTAGAACACTGGTTTATCTCCAAAATCTGGGATATTTTCTGTTAAATTACTGATAAGTAACAGAAATGAACAATCTTAGAAGAAGCCACTGTATTTATGATGTAACTTTTAGCCCTCATTTCTAGACGTGATCAGAAGTGCAAAGTCAGGGGGTACCTGGATGGGTCAGTCAGCTAGGTGTCTCTGACTTGTGATTTTGGCTCAGGTCATGACCTCATGATCGTGAGTTCAATCCTTGCATCAGAGCTCTGCTCTCTTTCTCTCTCTCTCTCAAAATGAATAAGTAAACTTCAAAAAGAAAAAAGAAATGCAAAATCAGGATAGCAGCATGAAAAAAAAAATCTTTGTTTGCTATATTACCTTTCCTAACTTCACATATCTGGCATCAGCTGTAGAGATGGATGATATAAGTTCATCCTTCTATATTATTATTATTATTATTATTATTATTATTATTTTTTTTTTTTTTAGAGAGAGAGAGCTAGCACATGAGTGGGGCAGGGGGGCAGAGGGAGACAGAGAGAATCTTAAGCAGTCTTTGTGCTCAGTGTGGAGCATGATATGGCGGTCAGTCCTACAACCCTAGGATCATGACCTGAGCCAAAATTAATAGTTGGACGCTCAACCAACTGAACCCCCCAGGTGCCCCACAAGTTCATACTTCTAAGTAAGATTTTCAGTAAATATTTTTCATATTGAGCCTGACAAAGTAATTTACCAAGAATCTTAAAAATTTTAGAATCTTTAAAATCTGTTGTTCTGAAAAGTAGCCTGAGAATTAAACTGATTTTTCTATAGATAAATATTTTGGTTACATTTGTGTATGCTATCTTATCCTGAGCATTAAAAAAAAAGGTTTCTTTCTCTTATTCCTTTTTATAGTCTAGGTTTTTTGAAAACAGTTTTTACAATAGAAGGTAGATCCCTCCCTAGTCTCTGCCATTGCAGGTAACTGGGTAGAAATTCTGCTTTCATGAATCATGCACACTGGTTGGTTCCCTGGAACCTGATCTGTCACAACTGACAGACCAAGACAAGATTCCCTGATGCTAGCGGTGGTAGGGAAGATGGTGACACTCTGCAACAGAGTGACTGAGGACAGATCCTGCTAGATAATGTCAAAATGGCTTCCCAAGGAGGGACCAGAACCTTGTAAATGGAGATGGAGAACAGAGTGATACTAACATAGTCATTTTAACTACAGAAGAAGCCCTACAGTCCTTTTGTTTATCAAGGCTGATTTCTTACCCATCTGTGACTACAAAGGAGACTGTTCTTTGTTTTGGGGCAGAGAGCATGAACCCTGGGATGCCTGGTGGCTCAGCTGTCAAGTGTTCAACTTCAGCTCAGGTCATGATCGCGTGGTTCTTGAGTTTGAGCCCTACATCGAACTAATATTCAGAGCCTGGAGCCTGCTTCAGATTCAGTGTCTCCCTCTCTTTGCCCCTCCCCTGTTTGTACTCTGTCTCTCTCAAAAATAAACACTAAAAATTAAAAAAAAAATAAAACAAAACACCACAAACCCTATTTAGGATTTCTACTGTTTGTGTCTGCACTGCTACACATCAAATGGATGGAGTTCTATGGCCTTTCTCACATTGGATGTCCTCTTTTCGGTGTTGCTGTTTGCTGGTGTATATAGATGTCTGTAAAATAGTCTTAGAAATTTCTATTAAAAAATGTTAGACATACTGTAATTTTTAAGTGATTGAGTAATCACCTACTAGTTACAAGTCTCTTATTAGAAAGGTGGAATCTGAACATTTTATGAACACAAAGATAGTATATTGGGTATGGTCTCTTGTTCTTGGAATCTCTGTAGAGGTTCATTTGTCCTAAAATTTCTTGTTTATTGGAAGGTGGTATGGTGTAGTGCAAGGAGTTTGAGCATTGGACTTTATTGTTTTATTCGTTTCATATATTTGACAGATACTATAATTTGTGTACTGTATGTCAGTCATTGTTTTAGACTCTTGGGATACCACGACAAAAACAAAAAACAAAAACAGTCCCTTATGGTGGTAAGGGAGGAGATAGACACATAGATAATTATAATGTCGTCTGACAAATGTAATGATAGAGAGATGCCTAGGGCTTTAGGGGAACATAGAAGAAGAATGCTTTTTTGAATTTCAGTTCTTCATATGTAAAATGGAGACAAAAAAATAACCTATTTTACTGGGTTGCTCTGAAGATTAGATAAAGAATATAAAACACGGAGCAGAGATTTGGCACAAGTAGAAGTATGCATGTGAAATCAGTTATTATTTTACTGCTTTGTAATATATTGTGGCTGTTAGTGATACTAGCTTATTAATGACAGAGAATTGCTCAGCAGTATTTGAGCTATTTGGAATACCATGGCAGAACTGTAATCGTTCTTAATTTGATTTCCTGCAGTGGTCAGTTTCCTTTGGAAATAATATTTTCTGAATATCTTGCCTGAGAGAATCCCTTGGTTGGAGTTTCAGATAATCTTTTCTCAGAAAAGTTAATAGGAGTTATTCAGAATCAAACAGTTGGTGTAATCAGTTGGGTTTTTAAGTAAACTCTGGTGAGTCCTGTGGAAAGAGGGGAAAGATCTAACTAAATAGCTTTCTGTTTAGATAAACTGGGTGGGGGAGTTGGACGGGGTATTGACTTGTAGGAGGTACTTTTATTTTCACTTGGTTCATTTCTTGAAGTGAGGTTTCTTTTGAGGCCGGAAGGTAAGGACTAACCTTTAAGAGATCAAGATTCAGGATTCAAGTACTTTGTTGAGAAATGACTGTATAATATTTTAAAAGAAGTAGAGACAGCTCTTCAAAGACTGAATCCCTGACTACACAGCCCTAATAAAACCTGCTTACTTATATTTTTTTCTCTTGCGGTTCCTCCATTGTAGTTAATATTTAAATAGAAGTTTTAAATGGTGTTGAAAAAAATCTTACTTTATATAAAAATGTTCAGAAACCTTCTGGGTTGCCTGTGAACAATGATTGGAAGTGGTCTTGTATTCACAATAAGACAATAATAGACTACTCCCTCTTGAATACATTAATAGTTGAAGGTACATTCTGTGCATTTGACAGAGCCGGTGATGAATACAAAGAAGTGTAGTGCTGGGTGTGAGCACCAGTGACATTCATGTCATATAACATTTCTGTGCTTAGTGAACTTTAGAATGCCAAGTAACTACTCAATTGCCATTAACTTTCAGTAACTCAAGACTACTTGCAAATTTTAGGGTATATTGATTTTTCTCCCCTCTGTTCAAATGGCTTTGCACATGTAAGACAACTTTTCCTTGTAATATTTATGAACAGAGGACCCTGGGTTTCTGAAAAGCCAAGTGAATAAGGTTGGAATAAATAACATCCAGAACTTCCAGACACATTTGGTTCTCCCCACCTTTTAGAGTAGAATAATAGAACCAGATAATCCCCTAATAGTTGGCAGTGTCAGCTTCCAGAAACAAAGTAGAGGGGATGTTTTTTTGCTTTTGCTACAGTACAGTAAAATGGAAATACTAATGTTTTGATGCCACACAAGCCTGGGTTCAAGTTTAGATTGACCACTTGCTAACTTTGTGATCATCAGGTTACTTTACCTTTCAAACAAAACTCAATTTCCTCTTCTGTAATACTGGAGCCAGTTTGGTTGTGAGGGACAGGTATGGAAAATTCTTGCCCAAGCCTAGTATAGAATATGAACTCAACCACTGTTAGTTGTTTTTCTCCTTTTCCCCTTTCACAGTATGTCTTTTCAAGTAAAAGGCAGGTGTGTTGAAAACATTTTCTGGCAGTTGGAGAAACTGTTTGACTTGATATTTAGATGTCCTGTTTCCCTCTGTTGGATTTCATTCACAGGCAGTAGATTTTTGTTAACTTTTTTTTTTCTTAAATAGTTTATTGTCAAGTTGGTTTCCATATAATATCCAGTGCTCATCCCAATAAGTGCCCTCCTCCATGCCCATCACCCCCCTTTCCCCTCTCCTCCACCCCCATCAGCCCTCAGTTTGTTCTTAGCATTCAAGAGTCTCTCATGGTTTGCCTCCCTCCCTTTCCCCAACTATTTTCTCCCTTCTCCTCCCCCATGGCCCTCTGTTAAGTTCCTCCTAATCCACCTATATGCACAAACATATGGTATCTGTCCTTCTCTCACGGGCAGTAGATTTTAAGGGTGGATTAAATAAAAACACACACACACACACACACACACACACACACACACACACACAAAACAAAACAAAACAAAAAGCAATCCCAGTTGCCTCAGAGCTCAAATAATCTACCCATTGCAGTTTTGGTCCTTGTAACTCTTAGAAGAGGGTGTATTTTTTCCCCATAGTAAGGCATACTCTTAAGAGCCAGGTGTTCCTTGCTCTTAAGTGGAAGCAGTGGCTGGCTATGCAGGACAGTTTCACATTGATTGGTTAGGACATGCTGTCCTTTGAAGCAAGTGTTAGGCAGTGGTGCTGCAGTGCTCACGCATACTGTTGAATTAATCACTGCAGAGTTCTTGGCTGTGACCTGTAAAGGTAAAATAAAACTGCCTCTCAGAAACACTGGGCAACTGTAGTTAAAATGGTGATTATAAAATACTGAGAGGAATAAGGAGAGAGAAGGTATAAGAATGGTTTTGGCAGAATTGTCTTAATGATTTTTATTTGAGGCCTCTTAAATATTTGGGTCTTAGTTCTATTTCCTTTTTTAACCCAGAAGTCACAGATAAAGCAGAAGAGGTGGTATGTCTTACTGGGTAAGGTGAGGCCTAGCTCTTAAATTTTAGTTACGTTCCTTTTGCTTAGAACTCTTTTCTTTCCTAACTCTATGTCTGAAGTCACTTGGAATCCCCACAGTTCTTTTATGAAATGGACAAATTTTCGTTGAGATGCTGTTGATAATGTAGATTGAAAACACAGCAGACACAGCATACTGACCTAAGAGCATGATAAAGAGGAATGTCCTCAGATTTGGAGCCAAATAGTCCTTGGTTTGAATTTTGTAAGATTACTATGAGAATTAAATGACTGTTACATGCAGAATACTTAGCATATAGTATGCAGAATAAGTATTAACTATATTAGTGTATCTCCCAATCTTCAGACCCAAATTTGGCAAAGTGATTGGTATTTTCTTAGGAAGTAAATGAAATATGGGATGAACTCTCTTGCAGTTCTTTGAGGGAAAAGATATTTTATAAATTAAAGTTATTACAGTTGCCATTTTTTTTTCTTCAGGTTGATAATGGGGAAAATGCTGAGAAGGAAATACCTATTTCTACTGTCTCATCCAGTACCCAGGTGTCCTGCCCACTATGTGACCAAGACTTTCCACCCACAAAGATTGAGCGACATGCCATGTACTGCAATGGAATAGGGCAGGGTACAGGTAAGACTTACCAGGATCTATCAAATTCTTTTCTTTGCATGGTAGTTTTGTAATCCTCTATAATACAGTATAGGAAAAACAGACCACTCTTCCTCAAAGTTAAAGTTGTTGGGTTTGTATTTTTCTCTTTCCTGTCTCTGTTCTTTATTTCTTTGGCAGGTGTGCTCTCCTATTGCACATACTCAGGAGAAAGGGAATGGAAAAATCTTTCATTTTGGTATAGGTGGGCCAAAAATCAGTGTGATGCCATGGGCACATTTCATCTTTTATATTCGAATGTTGAGATTCCTATGGAGCTTGAGGAATTAAGTTCTAGAGTTGACTGTTTTTTTCAAAATTGAAGTAAAATTAGCACACAGTGTTAGAAGAGTTGCCCATTTTTTTAAATTCAAAATAAATCCCTTGTGGGTTTATTTGTGTGTGTAGAAATCCTAACTAAAAACAGAAGCCAAAAAGTATCTCCTCATTTCTGTTCATGTCCTATATGTCTCTGCTGTATCACCATGGAACTGTTGGTTATCTCTTGAAGAGTACATCAAAAACCTTAGTTTTGGTGAAGTGTAAGATATTGACCAAGAGTCTTCTTGTTCATCACAGTCCATTACCACTTCCAGTCTCACCTTTCTGTCTAAGAAGTGTTGCACTTCTTAGTCCTACTTGATGCCCATAACTTGGAAGTAATTATTCTGCAATTGTATAATTGTGAAGTATTTTGTAAGGTAAGATTTCCAGGAAAGAAGGCCACTGTTACTTAATTTTTCCGATGTAACCACTTTGTATTTATTATGTAATGAAGTACCTAAATTTATAATTAAATAAATTTGTAGTTTTTCTGATTACAAAGTAGTACATGTTCATTGTAATAATTGTTTATATTTATTAAATACTTAAAATGAGTCACATACTACTTACATAAATGGGACCATGCTAGGATATATATTATTCTGTAATTTGCCTTTTTAAATTTAGCAGTAAATTTAGATCTTTCCATGTGCAGATATACTTTTTATATAGTTGAACTCTCACTATCTGTAAAATTTTATATTTTGCTTTTTCTACTAATAGCATAAATTTTTCCCAATGTCACAAAAATGACATTTTTATTTATATATTTACTTATTTATATCCAAGTTATTTAGCATATAGTGCAATAATGATTTTAGGAGTAGATCCCAATGATTCATCCCCCTGTGTATAATACCCAGTGCTCATACCAACAAATGCCATCCTTAATGCCCCTTACCCATTTAGCCCATTCCCCCACCCATAATCCCTTCAGCAACCCTCAGTTTGTTCTCTGTATTTAAGAGTCTCCTCTGCTTTGTCTCCCTCCTTGTTTTTATGTTATTTTTGCTTCCCTTCCCTTATGTTAATCTGTTTTGTATCTTCAATTCCACATATGAGTGAATTCATATGATACTTGTCTTTCATCTGCTAAGTGAAATTTGACTAATTTAACTTAGCATAATACCCTCTAGTTCCATCCACATAGTTGTAAATGGTAAAAATTTCATTCTTTTTGATTGCCGAGTAATACTCCGTTTATATATGTATACCACATCTTCTTTATCCATTCACCTGTCAGTGGACATTTGGCTGTTTGGCTTTCTGTACTTTGGCTATTGTTGATAGCACTGCTATAAACATCAAGGTGCATGTGCCCCTTCGAAACAGCACACCTATATCCCTTGGATAAATACCTAGTAGTATAGTTGCTGGGTCCTAGGGTAGTTCTATTTTTAACTTTTGAGGAACCTCCATACTGTTTTTCAGAGTGGCTGCACCAGTTTGCATTTCCACCAGCAGCGTAAAAGAGATCCTCTTTCTCTGCATCCTCACCAACATCTGTTGTTTCCTGAGTTGTTAATTTTAGCCATTCTGACTGTTGTGAAGTGGTATGTCATTGTGGTTTTAGTTTGTATTTCCTTGATGATGAGTGATGTAGAGCATGTTTTCAAGTGTCAGCCATCTGGATGTCTTCTTTGGAGAAGTGTCTATTCATGTCTGGCCCATTTCTTGACTGGATTATTTGGATTTGGGGTGTTGCTTGATAAGTTCTTTATAGATTTTTGATACCAACCCTTTATCTGATATGTCATTTGCAAATATCTTCTTCCATTCTGTTGGTTGCCATTTAGTTTTGCTGATTATTTCTTTTGCTGTGTAGAAACTTTTTATTTTGATGAGGTCCCAGTAGTTCATTTTTACTTTTGTTTCCGTTGCTTCCGGAGATGTGTTAAGAAGTTGCTGCAGCTGAGCAGCAAATCCTCAAAGAGGATTTTGCCTGCTTTCTTCTCAAGGATTTTGATGGCTCCCTGTCTTACATTTAGATCTTTCATCTATTTTGAGTTTCTTTTTGTATGTGGTGTAAGAAAGTGGTCCCGTTTCATCTGCATGTTGCTCTCCAGCTTTCCCAACACTGTTTGTGAAGAGACTGTCTTTCTTCCATTGGATATTATTTCCTGCTTTGTCAAAGATTAGTTGGCCATACGTTTGTGGGTCCATTTCTAGGTTCTCTCTTCTGTTCTGTTGATCTATGTGTCTGTTTTTGTGCCAGTATCATACTGTCTTGATGATTACAGCTTTGTAATACAGCTTGAAGGTCCCAGATTGAGATACCACCAACTTTGGTTTTCTTTTTCAACATTACTTTGGCTATTCCAGGTCTTTTCTGGTTCCATACAAATTTTAGGATTGTTTGTTCTACCTCTGTGAAGAATGCTGGTATTATTTGGTAGGGATTGCATTGAATATGTAGATTGCTTTGGGGAGTATTGAATTTTAACAATATTTGTTGTTCCAATCCATGAGCATGGAGTATTTTTCCATTTTTTTGTGTCTTCAGTTTTTTTCATATGCTTTCTATAGTTTTCAGTGTATAGATTTTTCACCTCTTTTGTTTAGGTTTATTCCTAGGTATTTTATGGGTTTTGGTGCAATTGTAAATGGGATCAATTCCTTGATTTCTCTTTCTGTTGCTTCATTATTGGTATATAGAAATACAACCAGTTTCTGTGCATTAATTTTATATCCTTCAACTTTGCTGAATTCATGGATCAGTTCTGGCAGTTTTTTGGTGGAATCTTTTGGGTTTTCCATATAGAGTATCATATCATCTGCGAAGAGTGCAGGTTTGACTTCCTCCTTGATGATTTTGATGCATTTTACTCCTTTATGTTGTCTGATTGCTGAGGCTAGGACTTCCAATATTATGTGGGCAGTGGTGAGAGTAGACATTCCTGTTGTGTTACTGACCTAGGGAGAAAACTCTCAGTTTTTCCTCATTCAGGATGATATTAGTGTTGGATCTTTCCTATATGGCTTTATGATTGAGGTATGATCTTTCTATCCCGGCTTCCTTGAGGGTTTTTATCAAGAAAGGATGCTGTATTTTGTCAAATACTTTCTCTGCATCTATTGAGAGGGTGTTCTTGTCCTTTCTTTTATTGATGTGATGTATCACATTGATTGTTTTGCAGATAATTGAACCAGCCCTACATCCCAGGTTTAAATCCCACTTGGTCATGGTGGATAATTCTTTTAACGTATTGTTGGAACCTGTTGGCTAGTGTATCTTGTTGAGGATTTTTGGATCCATGTTCGTCAGGGAAATTGGTTTGTAGTTCTCTTTTTTAGTGGGGCCTTCGTCTGGGTTTGGAATCAGGGTAATGCTGGCCTTATAGAATGAGTTTGGAAGTTTTCCTTCTATTTCTATTTTTGGAACAACTTCAAAAGAATAGGTGTTAACTCTTCTTTAAATGTTTGGTAGAATTCCCCTGGAAAGCCATCTGGCCCTGAACTCTTGTCTTTTGGGAGATTTTTGATTACAAATTCAACTTCTTTACTGGTTATGGATCTGTTCAAATTTTCTATTTTTTCATGTTTCAGTTTTGGTAGTTTATATGTTTGTAGGACTGTGTCCATTTCTTCCAGATTGTTGACACCATATATATATGTAATTGCTCATAATATTTTCTTGTTTGTATTTCTGCAGTGTTAGTTGTGATCTCTCCTCTTTCATTCTTGATTTTGTTTATTTGGGTCCTTTACTTTATCTTTTTGATCAAAATGGTTAGGGGTTTATCAGTTTTGTTAATTTTTTCAAAGAACCTGCTCCTGGTTTCATTGATCTATTCTACTGTTGTGGTGTTTTTTGTTGTTGTTGTTTTGTTTTTTAATTTTGATACCATTGATTTTTGCTCTAATCCTTATTATGTCTTGTCTTCTGCTGGTTTTATTTGCTGTTCTTTTTCCAGCTATTTAAAGTGTAAGGTTAGGTTGTATATCTGAGACCTTTCTTCCTTCTTTAGGAAGGATTGCTGTGTACTTCCCTCCTTTGCTACATCCCAGAGGTTTTGGGCTGTAGTGTTATAATTTTCATTGGCTTCCGTGTACTTTTTAATTTCCTCTTTAACTTCTTGGTTAGCCCATTCATTCTTTAGTAGGATGTTCTTTAGTCTCCAAGTATTTGTTGTCTTTCAAATTTTTTCTTATGGTTGATTTTGAGTTTCATAGTGTTGTGGTCTGAAAACATGCATGTATGATCTCGATTTTTTGTACTTGTTGAGGGCTGATTTGTGTCCTAGTATGTGATCTGTTCTGGAGAATGTTCCATGTGTACTCAAGAAGAATGTGAATTCTGCTGCTTAGGATGAAACGTTCTGAATATATCTGTTAAGTCCATCTGGTCCAGTGTATCATTCAAAGCCTTTGTTTCCTTGTTGATTTTCTGTTGAGATGATCTCTCCATTGCTGTAAGTGAGGTCTTGAAGTCCCCTATGATTATGGTATTATTATCAATGAGTTTCTGTATGTTTATGATTAATTGATTTATATATTTGGGTGCTCTCACATTTGGGGCACAAATGTTTAGAATTGTTAGATGTTCTTGCTGGATAGATCCCTTAATTATAATATAATGTTCTTCATCTCTCCTAACTGTCTTTATTTTAAAATCTAGGTTGTCTGATATAAGTATGGCTACTCCAACTTTCTTTTTG